AACCTAGGACCCCACCTAGGGGACCATTTTGCATCACTCCTTCTTGAGGCCCAAGAGTTCCTGGGCCCCTTTCTGTGGGTCACATTCCAAGCAGAGAAGGAGACTAAATTGGACAAACTGAGCACCTAATATGTGCTGGGTTTTAGATCAGGTGCTTCTCTTCTATGTTTCTCTTTCATCCTCAAACCCATGAGGCAGGTGTGATGTGATGGTCCCCTTTTACAGATGAATGACCCAAAGCCTACAGGGGTTGGACAGTATTGTCTAAGGGCACTTGGAGCACACAGCTGTCCCCAAGCCTTCCCCCACCTCCACCGCCCCCACCAAGCGGGAAGACCCAGCCAGCTGCCAGGAGGAAAGGGGAGTAGGAGGAACAGGCTGGGAAGATGCAGAGAGCTGCCCCCAGCCCCGAAACGGCCAGCTTGGCCTCCTGCCCGGAGGGGGATGGCTCTGGAGGGACCTTGTTGGGAACAGAGAGAAATTCATTAGCAGATGTGCATGTCCCCAAGTGATTAACGATCGATACTCTGGGCTCCATCAGCCAGAGGTTTGTGTTTATTATTCGACTTGGCCCAAGGCCCCCCAGTCCCACCTCTCCACACTTCTTTCCCCTCCTTCTGAGATCCTCAGGCCCACTCCATCTGCCTCCTCCCAGGCCTCTCTTCAATCCACACAGCCTAGGCCAGTTCCCAGGACAGACACACTGGGGATGGAAGTGGTGGGGAAGGACAAGTGGCAGGGTGCCAGGATTACCTCCTGAACAGCAGGCTCATTTGCTAACCTGAGCTTTGTTCACTTCAGGGACAAAAGAGGACTTCATTTTCACTTTGGGAGAGGCCAGAAGGAAAGAGAGTGTGGTACTACAGCAGGAAAGATAAAGGATGGATAATAAGAGGAACTTCCAGTTGCCATCGAACTTTGATTCCTGGCCTGGGGTACACGTCCTTCTTGGCTGTGGGAAAAGGGCTGACATGGAAATGACACAGGCTGGGCCTGTAGCCAATGGGACCTTCCCCATAGAAGATGCCACTTAAAAGTGTCATTAAACCCTCAGGACTCTTAAAGTGAAGAACAAGGGAACTAGGAACACCCTTTAAAGTGATATGGAGAGTTCCCAAGAGATGGCCGTGTCTTTCTCGCTTCCCCTGCCTTGGAATGGAGACAGGTGGCTCCTGTGACGTCCCCCTCCCACCAGTTTCTTCTCTGTCTTCCAGCCCTACCCACCCTGGGGCCTTGAGCCAACAAGTCCACATTAATTCAGGGGCTTCTCTGGCTCAATCTGCCTTGGTTGGATTCTACCCGTTGAGTGGTTTTGGGGGAAGAAAAAATAAGCAGTAGGGACCATGGTCTTCCACCTCCAATCGGCGACTTCAACCTTGGGCTGGGAACATTCCTGGGTTCCATTCTCTCCAGACGAGTAGATTGGAAATTAGGTGCATTGCTACTCCCACCATCTTGGAAGCCAACAGAGAAATGTCACCCCAGCCTCTCCTCACCTAGCTCTGATGTTACTTCCCCATCCATGGGGCTTCAGGCTCTTCAGTCCAGGAGACTGCAGTGTGCACTTAGCTAGCTGCCTCAGTGGTGAGTCCCACATTCTGAAAGTCTTTTTTGATGTCTGATCTGAAGCCTTCTTGCTGCAACCAGCTCATTTTTTTCTCCTCATTCTGTCCACAGAAGTGTCAGAGGGAGAATTCTTGTTGAAGGTCAACTGTGAATGGAACTGAGAAGACTGGGAAGCATAGGCTGGACTAGGAAGCCTAAAGAAACTCAAGAGTCAGACTGGTGCTGTCGCTCAGTGGTAAAGCACTTGCCTAGCACGTGTGATGCAGTGAGTTCTGTCTTCAGGACCACATAACAATAAATAAAATAAAAGGATCGTGTCCATCTACAACTAAAAATAAAAGTTTAAAAAAATGAAGA